AGACAGAGTGTCTCTGCAGAAAAGACAGATTCTAGCAGAAATTAGAGGAAAGAAGCAAGAAGACGAGCAAACAGCGGACAAGGGCCGGAAGGAGGGGTACCTGAGACCCCGGGAGACTCCACGGGAGGAGGCTGCAGAGGAGAACTGGAGGCTGAGACTACAGGAGCAGCCTGGAGACCAGCGGCAAGGGTAGGTGGATTTCCTGTTTCCCCTCCCCTGCATTTGGTACTGCTGGTGGGCTCCCCAGCGGGTGGAGAGACCTGCGGACACCAGCCCAGAGACTGCCACCGCCAGCCAGCGGTGAGCCTGTAGCAGACGTGGCACCAGGTTCCCAAATTCCTCCGGGCACCTCCGTGTGCACAGACCCGAGCCCCGCAGCAGGCGCCATATTGCCTCCCTCTCCTCTCCGCCGACCATACCCGCGGCTGCCCAGAGAGACAATTCAGCCACCAGCCGGAGGCACCTCCAGGGAACGGGACCTTCCCATATGGGACCCTACAGCTGACTTAGGGGAACTTAGACTGTAAGCTCCCTACCCGCCCGCCCTCCCAGGTGCTGCTGGCACCGTGTTCCCAGGAGAATGGTGCCGACTCAGAGGCTGAGAGACATAGACCCAGCTTGGGCTCCCTGTGGGTGAATTGGGACCGGAAATCCTCTCCCTTGTGGGGATACAGTTTGAACTCTGGGACCCAGAGGTCGGACCTGCAGACCAGATCCCCTACACCGAGGGCTAGCATTGCCCGGGGCACAGAAGGGTTATACGTGAACACCCTACTGAGGTGTGTGTGCCTCCAGGGGTGGATCGGCGTCCTAGAGGGCAATCTCCTCCCAGGAGGAGGCCGTTCGCCCAACCCAGGTGGCGTTCCTGTGCAGGGAACCTCCCCGCTGAACATCACAGTCTTGGGAGGCCTGGTGGCTTGTGGTCTGGCCTGCTGGCAGAGGCCCAGGAGGAGCTGCGGACTTGGGGAGGGTGGAAAGAAGCGAGGCCTGCTCCAGACTGCGGGTCTCAGACAGCCCCACCCCCACACCCAGACTTTCTGGCTGAGCAGGACCATTCCAGCCCCACCCTGACAGCTTTACCTGGAAGCAGAGAACAGAAATTTGACCCCTGCTAACGGCCTGAGGGCAGGCTTACCCAACCCAGCTCCGCCCAGAACAAGAGCTGATAACAGGACACAAAATCAACAGCATAGCCTGTTCCTCCAAGCAAACGCCACCTACTGACAGGGACGGCATCTTGCACAGCCTTTCCACGGCACCCACTGACTCAACATACAGGGAGTGGTCCAATTTCACCCACAGACACCACCTAACGCCTCAGAAACTAAACAAGGTGTGTGAATACCCAAACAATAACTTAAAGAAAGAAACAACAACTGATCGACATGGGAAGAAATCAGCGAAAGAACTCAGGAAATATGAAGAACCAAACGGAAAACACACCCCAAAGAGGAGCACCAGCCCCCAAGAAACAGACACCAACCAAAATCAGGCAACCAATATGACAGAAGAGGAATTTCGTATGTGGATCATAGGAACACTCACCCAGCTGCAACAACAACTCAATAACCAACACAAAAAAACCACAAAAAGCCTCCAGAATATGGAAAAAGAAATAGACACAGTGAAGAAAAGTTTAACTGAACTCCTGGAAATGAAGAATCAATTCAAGGAAGTACAAAATACAGTGGAAAGTCTCAAGAACAGGGTAGATCAAACAGAAGAAAGAATCTCAGAGCTTGGAGATAACACCCTCCAATTAAATAAATCAGTCACAGAAATAGAGCAGAGAAACAAGAGAAAAGAGCAAAGCCTACAAGAGCTGTGGGATTATGTGAAGAAACCTAATGTGAGGGTCATAGGGTTACCAGAAGGGGAAGAAGACAACACTCAAGGGTTGGAAAAGCTGTTTAAAGACATAATAGAGGAAAATTTCCCAGGCCTTCCTCAAAATCTTGATATACAAGTTCAAGAAGCTCAGAGGACCCCTGGGAGAGTCAATGCAAAAGGTAGACGTCACGACTTGCAGTCATAGACTGACCAAAGTATCAACTAAAGAGGCCCTTCTAAGAGCTGTAAGACAAAAGAAGCAAGTAACATACAAGGGAAAGCCAATTCAAATAACATCAGACTTCTCTAATGAGACTTTACAAGCAAGGAGAGACTGGGGCCCCATTCTCACTCTTTTGAAACAAAACATTGCCCAGCCTAGAATATTATTCCCTGCAAAACTAAGCTTCGTATATGAAGGAGAAATAAAAACATTCTCAGACAAGCAAAGGCTCAGAGAATTCACCAAGACAAGACCAGCCCTACAGAGTATTTAAACAGCGTTACGCACGGAACATCATAATAATAATCCACGAATATAAAAACAACCAAAACCCAAAGATATTAAAGGCCAGATATTACAATGGCACAAGACAGAAATCATAGCAACAACATCCAACCCAACAGAATGATCAGTAATCTACCTTACCTATCAGTTCTCTCAATAAATGTGAATGGCTTAAACTCTCCACTCAAGAGACAGGCTGGCTGAATGGATAAGAAAATACAGGCCACGTATATGCTGTCTTCAGGAAACACATCTAACCTACAAGGATGCATATAGACTAAAAATAAAAGGGTGGAGATCAATATTCCAAGCAAACAGAAGCCAAAAGAAGGCTGCTGTGGCAGTTCTAATTTCAGACGATTTAGTTTTTAAACCAACAAAAGTAGTGAAAGACAAAGAGGGTCATTATATAATGGTGAAGGGCACAGTCCAACAAGACGAGATAACAATTTTAAATGTATATGCACCCAACTTAGGTGCACCCAGATTCATAAAGCAAACCTTACTGGAGCTAAGCAAATGGATTAATAGGAACTCCATAATCACCGGAGATTTCAACACCCCACTGACGGCACAAGACAGATCCTCCAAACGGAAAATTAATAAAGAATTAATGGACTTAAACAAAACTTTGGAACAACTGGGTCTGACTGACATCTACAGGACATTCTACCCAAAATCCACTGAATATACATTCTTCTCATCAGCTCACAGGACATTCTCTAAGATTGACCATATCCTAGGACACAAAGTAAATCTCAAGAAATTTAAAAAAATAGAAATCATACCATGTACCTTCTCAGATCACAGTGGAATAAAAGTAGAAATCAACCCTAACAGAAACTCACATTTCTACACAAAACGTGGAAATTAAACAACCTCCTACTAAATGATTACTTCATAAATGAAGAAATCAAGACGGAAATTAAAAAATTCTATGAAGAAAACGACAATGGAGAGACAAGTTATCAACTCCTCTGGGACAAGCTAAAGCAGTTCTGAGAGGAAATTTTATCTCCATAAATGCCTATAACCAAAAGACAAGAAGATCACAAAAAGACAATCTAATCAAACGACTCAAAGAGCTGGAAAAAGAAGAACAGACCTAACCCAAACCCAGCAGAAGAAGTGAAATCAACAAGATCAAATCAGAACTAAACAAAATTGAAAACAAGGAAGCTATTCAGGAATTAATAAACAAAAAGTTGGTTCTTTGAAAAAATAAACAAAATTGATACACCATTGGCTAAGCTAACGAAAAGCAGAAAAGAGAAATCTCTAATAAGCTCCATCAGGAATAAAAAAGGAGATATAACAACTGATCCCAAAGAGATACAAGATACAATTTATGAATACTACAACAATCTTTATGCACACAAGCTAGAAAATGTTGAGGAAATGGACAAATTTCTAGAAACACACAGCCTCCCTAGGCTCAACCAGGAAGAAATAGATTTCCTGAACAGACCAATCTCAACAGCTGAAATAGAAACAGCAATTAAAAATCTCCCTAAAAAGAAAAGTCCTGGTCCAGATGGCTTCACACCCGAATTTTACCACACTTACAAGAAGAACTAGTACCTATCTTGCAGAAACTATTCCACAACATCGAGAAGAACAGATACCTCCCCAACACCTTTTATGAAGCAAATATTACTCTGATACCAAACCAGGAAAGGATGCAACAAAAAAAGAAAACTACAGACCAATATCCCTAATGAATATAGATGCCAAAAATTTTCAACAAAATCTTAGCTAACCGATCCAGACACTTATCAAAAAATAATCCACCACGACCAAGTGGGCTTCATCCCAGGGATGCAGGGATGGTTCAACATACATAAATCTATAAATGCAATTCACCACATAAACAGAAGCAAAAACAAAGACCACATGATTCTTCAACAGATGCAGAAAAAGCTTTTGACAAAATTGAAACCCTTTCATGATACGGAACACTTAAGAAAATAGGCATAGAAGGGACATACCTAAAAATAATACAGAGCCATACTATGACACTCTGTCTGGCGGGGTTATTCGTCCGCCATCTTGCTCCACCCCTTAATTTCTTATAGATTGCCAAATGATATTTTACTTTATTGAAATTCTATGAATTATGTTTTCTCATCTATTCATTAGTTGATAGGCATCTGCATTGTTTCTACTTTTTTGTCTATTGTGAATAATGCTGCTGTGAACATCTGTATACAAGTTTTGTGTCTACGTATGTTTTCATTTCTCTTGGGTAGACACCTAGGAGTAGAAATGCTGGGGTCCTATGGTAACTCTGTGTTTAACACATTGAGGAACTGCTGAACTGTTTGCCACAGTGGCTGTACCATTTTATGTTCAATTGAATTTCAATTCATCCACATTCAATTAATTCAGTGTATCCACATTTTTGCCAAACTATGTTATTGTCTTTCTTTTTGATTGTAGCTATCCTAGGAGATGTGAAGTGGTTTTGATTTGCATTTCCCTAATTGCTCAAATGATTACAGAGGCTGAAAAGTCCCACGATCTGCTGTCTGCAGGCTGGAGACCCAGGGAAAAAAGGTGTGCAGCAGTCCCCACTTTATTCATGGTTTGATTTCCATAGTTTCTGTACATGTATGTTAGGTCCAATTGGTTCATAGTGCTGTGTATGTTCTCTATTTCCTTATTGATTACCTCTATAGATGTTCTGTCCATTATTGAAGGGAGAGGGTATTGAAGTCTTTAACTATTATGGTAGAAAGATATTTCTCTTTTTCGTTTTATATATTTTTGTTTTATATATTTCGGGGTTCTGTAGTTAAGTGCTTATATAGTTACAATTTTATATCTTCTTGATGAATTGGGTCTTTAATAGGTATATTAAAATATGTCCTTCTTTGTCTCTTGTAATAATTTTTGACTTAAAGTCTATTTTGTCTGTCAGAATAGCTTGCTCAGTTCTCTTTGTGTTACTATATTAAATGAAATATATTCTATTCTATTTGTTTCTCTGGATCTAAAGTTGAGTCTCTTATAGAAAGCATATAATTGGATCACTGTTTTTCCTATTCATTATGCGAGTCTCTGTGGTTATGTTTTTTTTGAGACAGAGTCTCACTGTGTTGCCTGGGCTAGACTTCTGTGGCATCAGCCTAGCTCACAGCAACCTCAAACTCCTGGGCTCAAGTGATCCTTCTGTCTCAGCCTCCCAAGTAGCTGAGACTACAAGCACGCACCACCATGCCCAGCTAATTTTTTCTATATATTTTTAGTTGGCCAATTAATTTCTTTCTATTTAATTTCTATTAATTTCTTTCTCTCTTAGTAGAGATTGGGTCTCACTCTTGCTCAGGCTGGTTTTGAACTCCTGACCTTGAGCAATCTGCCTGCCTCGGCCTCCCAGAGTGCTAGGATTCTAGGTGTGAGCCACCGCACCCGGCCCAGTCTCTGTGTTTTGGTTGGAGAGTTTAATCTATTTACATTTAAGGCAATTACTTTAAATGTAAATAAGTAAGAAAGAGTTTACTTGTTCCATTTTGCAATATATTTTATACCATTTTAGGTCAGCAGATGTTAGAAGCCTGAAAGAAAAAGAATGGTATTTAGATAACCCAGAGGTTCATACCTACAGGAAGCAGCAACATTATATAGTTCTGAGATAATGAAAAAGAAAAGGAGATATTGCTAGACTCTGAGAACTGAAAGGAAGGTCCCAGTGGACTGGTGTTTGGGCATCTGAGAAGGCACCATAGGCCTTCCAGTGAGGATATGTGGTGTGGTTGGTAGTTTTATTGCCAAAGGGAACAGCATAGTTGGTACTGTTACCTGGGAGGGTACATGGAAAGCTAATGCTTGGGGTGTAAACAGAGGATAGTGGTAGGTGTCAATGTTTGATGCTGCTGTAATGTTACTGACCAGGGCTTCTCTCCTTCATTTTGATTTCCCTTTAGTGCCCCGCTCTGGTTACTTTATTGAGAATCTACTCTAGAGAGGGCATGCAGTGGAGGCCATTGTGATAATCCAGGCAGCAGATGACTGTAACTTGGACCAGGTTTGTAGTAATTGATAAAGTGTGAAGCAGTAGAACATTGGGTCTACTTTAAGAACTTGGAGGACTGCATGATGCTTGGATATGTGGTGGGCTAGTTCTCTTTCTTTCTTTTTTTTCTTTTCTCCGTCCCTCCTTCCTTCCTTCCTTCTTTCTTTTTCCTTTTATGGTGAGTTGGTAGGGGATGTTTGGCTTGTATCTGAGTAGAGTTGAGACACTGGATCAGGGACATGTCCTTGCAACTGTAGAAGTGTATGGGCAGTGGCCAGGTGTGGTGGCTCACGCCTCTAATCCTAGCACTCTGGGAGGCCGAGGTGAGAGGATTGCTTGAGGTAAAGAGTTCAAGACCAGTCTGAGCAAGAGTGAGACCCCGTCTCTACTAAACATAGAAAGAAATTAGCTGGACAGCTAAAAATATATAGAAAAAATTAGCTGGTCATGGTGGTGCATACCTGTAGTCCCAGCTAGTTGGGAGGCTGAGGCAAGAGGATTGCTTGAGCCCAGGAGTTTGAGGTTGCTGTGAGCTAGGCTGATGCCATGGCACTCTAGCCCAAGTGACAGAGTGAGACTCTGTCTCAAAAATAAAAATGAAGTGTATGGGCAGTGTGGGTCGTTGCTCCCAGTTGACATTGAAATGCCCCTGGTGACCCATCCTTAGGGCACTAGGGAGGAGGTACCAGAATAGTAGTTGGTGGAACTGCCAAGGAAATCTCAAAAAATTTCTTGCTTTCCTTACCTCATCTATTACTGTGTTTCCTTGAAAATAAGACCTACCCATAAAATAAGCCCTAGCAGGGTTTCTAAGCATTTGTGCAATATAAGCCCTACCCCGAAAATAAGACCTACTGATGAGCGTGGCTACACAGTGTATCTGCACAACGCATGCATTTGGTCACGGAGCGGTAAAGAAGACAAGCAGCTCTTCTCATCTGCCCCATCGTGACAGCTACTGTCTCAGAGGTGACTGGAAAGGTGCGGGCAGCCCCACCAACAAGGCCAGCTCCCCCTGTCAGGTCCCGGCCATCCTGTGCATGCTGCAAGCTGAGCCTTTGAGGGGAAAATAACACACCCCCTGAAAATAAGCCCTAGGGTGTCTTCTTGAGGAAAAATAAATATAAGACTCTTGTATTATTTTCAGGGAAACACGGTATCCTCTGAAATTTGACATTCTTATTTCTCAACCTAAAAACGATTGCATGTAACTGCATCTTTCCCAAGAAGTGAGTTTAGTTTCACATGACCAAAGCCACTCCTTCTGTTGATTGACCATTTCTAACCCTCATTTGTACTGTTTCTCCCCCACACAGGGCTCGGAGACAGACAACCAATCCCGGAACACTCACACACAATACATATTTCGTGGGAGCTCCGGACACAACCCAGGGCTAAGCCACAAGGCAACTTATGCCCCCACAAAGGGCTTTGGATGGGGCAGACTGACAGGCAAGAAAGAGTCTCTCTAATATTCTTCCTTTTGCACACAATAATATTAATAACGAGGGTTTTGAACATGTATTCTTTGTTTGGCTCTTCCCTTCTTATGCATCATCTCATTTCATCCTCACATTAGCACTCTGAAAAAGTTATTACTTTCCCTTTTTTACTGATGAGTTAAGTGAAGCTCAGAGCAAGAAACACTTGCCTGAAGTTCCCAACAAGCTGTTGGTGGAGCTCGCATTTAAACTCAAGTTCGTCAGTGGGAACATTCCAGACACCACAGCTCTTTGGTGCTGTGCTCTGCTCAGCTCCACGCACTTGCTGCCCTATGCTCCAAGGCACGTGCTCTCCACACAGAACAGTTTTCTACAGTCATTTGATAACTTTGCTCCCAGACATGCTTTTTCTGAATCAACATAACTTAGGTAAACTAGACATTTTTATGAGGAAAAATGAGAAAGGAAGCACAACATAGTTGTTTTCTGTTGTTGTTGTTGTTGTTTTTTGAGACAGTCTCACTGTGTTGCCCGGGCTAGAGTAAGTGCTGTGGCGTCAGCCTAGCTCACAGCAACCTCAAACTCCTGGGCTCAAGCGATCCTTCTGCCTCAGCCTACGAGTAGCTGGGACTACAGGCATGCACCACCATGCCCGGCTAATTTTTCCTATATATATTAGTTGGCTAATTAATTTCTTTTTATTTATAGTAGAGATGGCGTCTCGCTCTTGCTCAGGCTGGTTTCGAACTCCGGACCTCGAACAATCTGCCTGCCTCGGCCTCCCAGAGTGCTAGGATTACAGGCGTGAGCCACTGCGCCCAGCCCACAACATAGTTTTTGAGGAATGGTTGGGTGAGTGTGTTTAGAAAAGATAGCCAATAGGAAAATGCTACGACTTCTTTTATTTTTAATACTATTTTTCAAGAAAAAAATAGAAATTAAATCTGTCCCGTTACCACATATACAAAGGGTGTAAGTATATTAAACATATTCAGTATAACTACCACAACTTGAAAATGTTTTATTCACTAGCTACAAACTTTATGTATACACACTTATTTCTTATATATACCAATTTTCCACAAATATATATTACACCATACAATTAATGACCTTTTATGGCGCTGCTGGATTTTATTCTCTGTTCCTGCCTGGGCGTAAGGGAAAGTATTTAAACCTTATCTTTCTACATGGTCAATGTCATGCTTGCTTTTCTTAACTTTTGGCACATCATCGATGACAAGTGGGAACTCAAATCATCACTGTTAGAAGTGTAAGGATTGTAATTCTCCTGACTTTGTATTTGATGGAATAATTTACCAGATGCTAACCAAAAATTTTCAGAGGAAATTTTACATTAACAAAAATCAAATTAAAATTTTGATCTGACCAACATTCTTTCTTACATTTATTTTATGTTTCATGGGTTTATAGTAAGCTTCCCAGTGCTTTGTAACCGCGGAGGTCACTTTGAAGTTTGGTTGGATCTTTGTTTCTAAGAGATTGGCAGGATCTGGAAAAGATATGAATTCAGCTGCTGTGTCAGAAATGTCAACCCTCATGAAGGTGGAAGATGACATAACACAGCAGTGTACTGAACTTGCCAAAAAATAAAATACATTAGATTGGATTCTGTAAGAATCACGTTTGCTTTTATTTTTTCCCACATAGATAATTTCAATATCTTGCACTTTGCCCAGATGCAAAATAATGTAAATACAATGTTTATTTTTTATTTACATTTTTCTTTTCAAAAAGAGAATGCTTAAAAAGATGCAAGACTTTTTGATTCTTTCAGATTTTTCTCAAAATATTTTGGATTTTTCTGGTCCTAATCTAAATTCACAAAAATTAGGATGCTGTAACCATCTATCTAGTATTCTGCATCAGTGTTTGCTTACCATGAAAAGGATCCACATTGAACTTTAACACCAGAGGGTAGAGTGAATTTTGAAGGCAAATTCTTCCAAACTGTAGCAAATATGAAAACACTGGCATAAGTTTATTTACAATGAGTCCCATTGAAGCTGATTTCCATACGCAGTATTCTATAATTCTCACTGTGAACATGCAGACAAAAGGGCTAAAACCTTTCCTCTTTCATATTTTACTCTTATTATTAAATTTTCAGACTTAAAAAATCTACCTATAAGTCTCAGTGTAAAAGCTATGATTATTGAGTATTCACTCAATTATGTCAGTTTTTCTTTTTGTTTTTTTCTTTTCCTGTTTCTGTTCTTGGAACCAAGATGTCAGTTTTTCTTAAGCAGCATTAAAAATATACTATCTGGATCTCAGATGTTTCTTTCATACTAGAAGGGATGATGTTCAGTAAGCAAATCAACACTAAATCTACTTTAAAAAAACCTTCAAACTATACAAACAAAACAACTGATTAAGGTGATATTTTTCCTTATAAATGTGCAATATGCAAATTAGCAAACTCTGTGGAATTTCCATAACATGTATGAAGGCCAGGAGCTGTGTTTTCCAAATGGACTTTGGGTGGTGGCTGACTACATTAACTTTGAGGGCCCAACTTCACACTCCTATTCTACGGCTAAATATGGTCCCATATGTCCAGGACATTAATTAATGCTAGTATCATACCATTCATAAATTTAAGAAGAAAATAATACCTGTTTTTACAGATTAGGATTTTTCTTGATACTTTTACATTATATGATAAACATTTCATTTTTAAGAATGAACATTCAAAAACATTATATTCAAACAACGATATTAAATAACAATGAATTTGCTCATCTGAAACATGCACACAGGCTTCATAACTGCATTCAACTATGGCAACCTTGTAACAATCACTTACTATTTCAGTATTTAATTTTGAATTCAGTTCTTTGAAGTTGTTACATTCATTAAATTATTATGAGTGTCTTCACTCTTATATGTGTTTGGGGCTGTTTATTGGTGTCATCAGAAGAAATTCAGCTCAAACATATCTGGTTAGGTTGTTTAGATTTTTACCACTTTGTAACAACTGTGTAGTTATGGTTTTGGCTCCACAAAAGGAGGTGGATTAGGAAATTAATGTAGTAATAGATCATAATTTACCATTAAATAATTGCTTTTAGACTGCTCTTCAAAAAAATATTTGGTTCTAATATTGATGGAGGCATAACAATCAAGTAAAGTGTTAGAGGAAATCATTTTAGACAGATGGCTTTAAAAATCCAACTGAATAGTTTATTTCTTTTTTTTTTTTCTTTTTTTTTTTGGGACTGAAGGTGTATTGCTACCAACTGAATAGTTTAAAGAAGTTTGTAGCACACATCAACATTCTCAGAAGGTTTCTGCTTTCTAATTCAAGGAACACTTAAAGTGTTCCTTGTTCTGTTATGGATCTCAGAAATGTGCCAGTACATATTTTCTTCTAGTAAAATGAGTGCTTTTTGTGACTATTACTATATTTCTTTTTGGTAAGACTTCTATATTATCTAAACAGACAAAAGAAAATGTCTCTCTGGATAAGGCTGTGTGTTAGACTCACCCTCTAGTTCACATGTATCCAAACTACTGTGCACATTTCTTTTCTAACAGTTGACATCCATTTCTATACCTTGCCTGATTTGCCACATGCACATATATGGTATATGTGTAAATACTGTATGTAAATATACAGTATACATGTACCATATTTTTCAACCACATTTTTTTGGTCACATTTACAACTTTTGTCTCCGTGGATTTGCATTTGAATATATTTTCTGATACTTTCTCTTAGTGCTTATTTCTTTTTCAATACGAGGAGAGGAGGAGGACACTGGATAGCTGATAAGGTGGATATCTACCTTAAACTTTTTGCTTGGGTTACTAGAAAAAAAAAATCTTCCTTTGGAGCTGGGAGCTTCCCCTGTCTGCCTCAAAATTATCAGTTACTATCTGTACTTGCCTGATGACTGTAGCCAGCTTCAGAGACAAATGGGATTCTTCCCTTCTTTATTGGAATACATCTTCAGTGTTTTATAGTCTACCTATTTTTTAAAAATCTGTGATAAATAAAATAAAGAGGATCATAGGAATTTTCTTTGTCTTTTTAAGGTTCTGACTTTGACTATTTCTTAGCTTGGCATTTAAAAATACGTAATGGTCAAAAAGTATATGAATTTTTTTCCTTAGAAATCACTTTCTCAGAAAAAGTCATCAAGAGAGTGACATGTACATCTGCATAAGGATTTACCTAGATTTCCTTTTCAGTTAAATTTTGCCTTGGAAGAAATCTTTAAATCTTAAAATGTTTTCATTTTACAAAATGAGTTTTCTTGAGAAAAGATTTTATTAATTCCTGTCTTTTGGGGTTAATATTCATCACTATGGTAGGAAAATGGGTCTTTTAACTTTTTTCTGTTTTATAGTTATAGATTAAAAAGTCCATTTCATGTACACTTTATTTCTCTTCACTTATAATATTAGATTTCAAAGCTTTTCAATCTTTTGGAAAAATTATATGACATTTTAATGTCACAATTATATATAACAATTTTAAATGAAATAAGCTGGACACTTTATAAGTATTTTTTGGATATATCTTTGTTTGTTGCATATAACAATTTAGAGTTTTCAAAGACTAAATTTAAAGCCCATTTTATTTGAGGGGTGTTTATAGCCATTGGTTCTTCATCACATTTATATGCTACCTTTCTCAATTTAAGCATAGCTGCCTAAAAATTGCCTTGTTTCCAGAGAGCGTGCAGGACAGACTGACAGTCTGGGAACAGGCCCTAGCTGGCGTCATGATGGCCTCACACTAATTTTCACCTCAGGAAATGGACTTAAGAATATTCATCCACAGAGGCATAGGGCGAGCTTATGAAACTTGAAGTGGTGGAGGCAGATTTGGAATTCCTGCGGGAGCAGCCACTGATGCCTGGCTCTGCTGGCTTTGCTCTTTTCTTCCGACTGGCCTTGGCATCGTCGGCCTCGCTAGGGTCGAGCACTACGGTCACGGACTCCATCCTGGTCACTGTGTACAGGCTGCTCTGCCGAGCTGGGTGGAATCGGGTGGTTTTGAGCTCCAGTTCATCATAGCTAGAGACTTTGATGAAAGGACACCAGCGAAATGCACTCTTGAAGCCGGCTCGAAATCTGAGGAGAAGAAGGCCGCAGAAAGAAGCTGTCATGTTTTCAAGCAGACGTTTCCTCCAGCTGCACAGAAAGCCCTGCTTTGGGCAGCTATGCTGACTCAGCTTTTGAATTTGATTTTCTTGTCAAATTCTTAGAATTTGTGCCACAGTATTGGTACTGGTCTTTTAAATTCTTCTTGTTTTAATTGAATCTTAATTTCCCATAAATGAGAAGCAAGTCATCAAATAGCAAAACACCAGGTAATCGATATGCCAAAGAAACAGTGTATTTTCTGCAATACTTTCATACAGTTACATAAGTCTGGCTGAATTAGGGCGGCCTGTTAAGGCAGTTAACAATGACACTTCAAAATAGCTTCTTTCAGAAACAATCACACATCTATAAATTTGTCTCATTTAATGTTAGAATTAATTGCCAATCTTGATTGTTTTTATGTAATCTATATAAAAGTGCAAAATCTTATTTTTGTAAACCATCTAATGGAGTTGATTAACAGCAGGTGTACTGTTTTCTGGGCGTCTTGAATTGAAATACAGCTTACGCAATTAGTGAAAAAAGTAACAGTTAATTAAGTATTTAACAAACTTAAGGCTCAGTGTGATAAAGTGGGAAGAGAGCTTAGTATTTGGCTCCTGTGGTTACTTACGAGTCCTGTTTCTACTCATGCATAAAATATGTTGGCTTATTATGGAAGTTATCAACCCTATGAAATATAACTGTTCCCCTCCATGTGACCAAACAACCAAAGTGCTTTTAACTGGAAGCCACATTTTACCTTTTTTCTAGTTTTCAATTAGACTGTAAATACTACTACTTTCAATTTTTTTAACTTTATAAACATCTTTCCCTTGATGATTCCACTTTCTTCACAAGCCATCCTCACAGAGGCTGCCCTCTCTCTTACCCTACCTCATAACGCACTAAAGATCGGAATTCTCCTTGTCCTAATTTATCTTTATAAAATCTTCTACTTTGAAGTCTATTTATATCTGTTTTAATAGAGTCCACTCATATTTTCCATCCTATAGAAATTATCTGTGAATTTCTAGGAAGTGCCTTCATTACTTTGAGGACTTGAGCGCGTGTTCAGCTCACCTCCTTCAACCATTAGGGCATTTTTTTTTCTTTGTTAAGCAAAACTCTAAAGGATTTGGAGGAAGAAGCTGGCACATATTAAAACTGCCCAGTTAGAACCTCTAAAAACACTGTTTGGGGCATGTAATTGTTAAGATGAGACATTTTAGAAAGTAGGGGAGTATTAAAAATATCAAGCTTTATGTTCCTTTCAGTGAATTTTTATATTTTCCCATCCTTCTATATTTTAAATTTGTATTATGAAGCTGGGACAACATTGTATGTTTCCAGATAAGGCAGGAATGACAAGAGATTTGCATTTGTGGTTTTGTTTTTACCTCTTATTCAGACAGCAGTAGATGATGGGGTTGTACATGGTTGAGCTCATGGCCAGCCAAAAGCTGGCCAGGTAGACCTGCTGGATGTATTTCCACCTGTTTAGCTGTTGATAGATCGCGGTGAGAATAAAGTAAATGTGATAGGGCAGCCAGCAGATGGCAAATGTCATCACAACAATAATCATCATTTTTACAACCTAGAAAGAAAAAAAAGAAGACATTTTTGTCAAATATATACAAGTCGTTAAATATAATAGTTCCAATAGCTTATTGCAAATCATACTTTTCTGCCAATACAGTTAAACACACAGTATGCCTAAGAAATAGTCAACATATTAAATAATGGTGAAGCGGTATATAGGTACAGTTGCTTAAGGTAGGTCTCAAGAAAGTTTGTGTCACCGTTTGTCTCTCCCTACCTGAGTGAATGGGTAGTGCCAACACAGACATAGACAAATATATTTTAATTGTACTGAAGAATATGCTTACAAAGACTCAGAAAGCCTGCGGGAGAAAGAGCAGGAGCTAGGATGTGGCCATGCTAGCCTGCACTGTGCAGCAGTGGAGACATTATGCCTCGGGAGAGTGACTGCTCAGCCACTCTGGGCATGCACTGGGCTCAAGGGCTGGGCTGCCTCCTCAGCGTTTGTTATAGCCTAACTAAAGCTGAAGACTGTTCAGACTTTTTAGTGGCATGCTCACTAGGCAGCCTTATGGGTATTAATTTGGTCTTCCTTGTAACCTGATATCAGGGAAGGTTTTCCCAAAGAGTGATTATAAATATTCACATTAATCTCAGAAAAATTACTAAGTTTAAATTTGTAAATAGGCAACTGGCTTATGCAACTGTTTTATGTATCAGATCTTATGAGTTTGGCAAGCATAGGTCATTTCCTTTTATTCTACTTTGGAACCATAATAACCTAGCCAAAGTAGAATGTCAACTTCTGTTTCTCCTCCACCGGGCCTTAAATTCCTGAAAAACAGAAAGAATGTCTTAATTATCTTAATATTCCTAGGATCTAGCACAGTCCCTGGTATATAGCTGGAGATAAAGAAATATAGAATAAATGAATGATAGAATGGGGGATGTTTTTTATGTCTCAGAATAAAATAAAATCTACCATTGTCTATGTCTATAAGAAAGGTAAAATCAAAGGAAATAAACACTGAGCAGCTTGGTTTTGTGTATAAAAGGAAATTAATGTAATATTCTCTGATGCCTCATTTAATATATCTCATTATTCTGTCTGCTAAATTTGTTTACACTTCTTTTGGGAATTTGGAAACAGTAAAAATTGCTTAGAATAAGATATATTAAATAAAATAATTTTGAGGCTTACCTGCAGCCAGATTAATTAACACAAATCAGAGAAAGTCCTGATATAAATGGCCTATGAGGAACCCTAGAATTAGGAAAATACAATATTTATGAAATGGACTTATCATTTGACTGCAGGTCTGGGATTCAGATGAAAGTTGACAAGGTTAAGAGTCATGATACTAGAAACAGACAAAGCATGAAATGGATCGATGTGGAAGGCAAAGCTCCCCCAAGGGCCTAATCACTGTCCCATCCAGGTGACCAGCATTGAGCCGATAGAAAATTGGCCATCAGAGTTGAAAATCCAGGTCAATAGCTCACAGAATGTCATCACTGGCTACACTATGGAAAGTATTTTGATTTTCTCAGTGTTTTTCAAGTTGCATTGTTTTCTTCTGAAGAACTGCATTCATATTTGTGCATTTTGATTCTGATGTCTTGCTCATATATTTGTGAAATATAACTAAAAGCCCTTTTTAATTTATATTTATATGTATTTGATATATTTAAACCACTTTTTGTTATTTTCTAACTGAGGCAAAGACCAAAAGATTTGACCACTGTGATTCATTTAGAACTAAGGAAGGTCTTTAAACCTCAGACTTTTAAGTCTTTTTTTTTTTTTTTTTCGGCATGTTATGGGGGTACAGATTTTAAGGTTTCAATAAATGCCCATTTCTCCCCCTCCCCCCACAAGTCTGAGTCTCCATCATGACCATCCCCCAGATGGTGCACATCTCACTCATTATGTATGTATATACCCGCCTTTTAAGTCTTTTTATTTCCTCAATGCAGTTAAAAAACTTTTATTGACTACCTAGCACATTAAGAAGATAATATTGGGAAAAATAATGATAAAGAACCAATTCCTTACCCAAAGCTAAAAATATAATGAAAAAAAAGGAAATGTGAAATTTTGTAAAAATACTTGTATCAAAATGTGGTGAGTATGAACACATGCAAATAAAATTAAAAATAACATTTAGGAGAATGTATGAATTTATTGTAATAAAGAATGACTCAATGCATGTCTGCTAATTGTGGGCTCAGGGGAGAATTAGAGTGAATGAAATGGGTTCTACTGATGTTTCGCCACTTAAATATGTGAACATCTCACTGTTCATGAGGATGACACTAGATTATTCTTGCTGACTTCTCCCTCTGCCTTAAGTATTCCTCTGACAATGATTTCCACTGGCTAACTCCCTCATCTCCTTGAAGCCGTGGTACAATTCTCATTTTTTCTGTGAATCCAACACTGACCAACTTATTTAAAATTGCAGTCTGCACTTCCAGCACTCCCAGAACCTTAGCTTGCTCTTTACTCTAAGTTTGTTATGTTTATTCTTTATTTCATGTCTTCTCATGCTGGAACATAAAAGAGCAAGAATTTTCTGCTTGTTTTGTTCACTTATGCATCCCCCAGCACCTAGACTGGACTTCACAGGTAAAGGGTACTCAGAAACTTCTTAAATAAATAAATGAAAGTGAATACCAAACAACAGAAATTGAAAGACCCATACATGACTACGTGATGTCCAGGATTTTACTCAGTCATTAACTATTGGGATTGTTTGTTCTCCAAGTTTAAAATGGACATGTATATATAAAATAAGCATGCCATTTACTGACATTTCCCCTTTCAAGAGAAACAAATCCACATAAAGAGAATGAGTGCAAAAACAATATAACCATTTTTGTTATGGGTACATGTAAGCTTTAAATTTCATTCTGAATAAATGTGAAGAGCAAGAAAAATCTCTATGAGAATGTGAACATAGAGTTTATCTGAATCCCTTTATATAGATGAATCACAAACTCCCTGTGCATAAACTTGTTTTCCAACAGTATAACTGAAAACCTACTGAAGCTATCAGAGTCTTTTTAAGTGACTTTCACCTGTCAACATGGAAAAGTCCAGGTAAACAGACAAAATATTAAAATGCATGTGGAGAATGAAACAGATTTCAGATAACCTCTAACTCACGTATACAGGGCCTTTAGGACCTTGTTGCAAAAGATTTAGAAACATATTTGAAGATTCTTTAGAAAAGGCTTGAATGACTCTTGAAAAAGTTATTTAAAGAAAGAACTGTACAATATAATTTGTTTATTTATTTCCATAAAATACTGTTACCTTGACTCTCTGCTCACAAAATATTGTAGAGTTACTTCAGATGTTGAAATCTCAGGACCCTAGTTGTGATGTAAATGCAAATGTAGGCTCTTGGATGGGAGAAATCATTTTGCTTTGCAAAATACTGAAATCACAAAATTGTAATCATCTTCCTCATAAAATGCGATGGAAAAGAGCTCTTCGAAACACAAAGCTTGAGCAGTGAGAGACGGGCAAATGTCATGGGCAGCGTTCACTGTGCAGCATGGCTGGACAGCGGCGCTAGCGCAGGCAGGCTGTGCATGCTAAACGGGACAGGAATTCAGTCGGCAGAACATAAGAAACTCCTGAGATTTTTAGGCAAGATGAGAGTCTGGGATGGAGAAGATTCAAATCTTTCATCATATCTTAACAAATTTTATTGTCACTTGAGGTACCGGTTGGTTGATGTTGGGTATTTCATATAGCTGAAAGATGTATCCTGCTTCTGAGGCAATGGAGTCATTTCCATGGCAACGTGTCTGGTTGTGTCTGCCTGCTGTCCTTGGTACAGGAACTTACAAGCAGGAGGAGAAAAGGAGGTGGGGGCAGGTGATGCTGCTCTTACGAAGTTACAGTGCCTGCTTTTAGTAGTGAAGACCCACTTTACGCAGGCAGGAAGGAAATGCATGTCATATGTTAGTGAGAATAAGCCTGGGGCACTTTTTCTTCATGTGTCAAAGGGGGAAAAATCTTTCATTTTTGTATCCTGTACAGATGATACTGAAATGCCGATAGCTGTTCTTATTCATTACCCTAAATTAGTGCAGGATGGATAACTCTGAGGTTTACGCCATAAAAGAATTTTAAAAAATCTAGGAGTCATATTTTTAAGTAAAAGATTTATTCTTTCTACATGTCTGAAATAGAAATGATCAGTTCTGTGTGACAGACATCTTCTTGTTTTGGTTAGAATCTTCTCAGAGCATATGTTTTAAAGAACCATTCCATGGACCAAACCCTAACACTTGTCTATATTTTTCCTTTGTATGAATATTCTCAAATGAATCATTACATTTTTTTAAGCAAGAATTATTTTAAGCACAGATGAGCAGACTAATATAATATTCTCAAGAGTGAGATGTAAAAATTTCAATGAAAAGCATTAACATTTAAAGTACTACTTCATGGGCTATTGAGGTTTGCCTTTTGGTGGTTCACTTTGAAAGAATATGATTCAGAGTTTCAGTCACAAGTGAGAAAATAAGAACTTAGTATGACCTGTGAAAACAGGACAGGATGGCTCAGAAGACAGATTGAATTGTACCAGTAACTTCAGGATTGGGTGGGAATATAGGCATATTATGTTAGTGTCACCCATGAAATTGGACGCTGTCGCCAAATCCAATTAACATATACATTCCCTTATCATTAGCCTAGAGAAATGCCTGTAAGAAATTATGTCAAGCTCTAACCAATGAAAATATATGCATATGCAGGCAAATATGAAAAATATTTTTTGCGTGTGTTGTGTTGTGTTTGTACTCTACTTCTTTACATTTCACTGGGCCCATTTTGTTTTAATGTAATTTTACTTTTTTATTGGAAACTTGATCTTTGATAGCATGGTAATATAATGATCTGAAACCAAAGCAAGGAATGTAGCCACAAAAAGGAAGAAAAGATTGTGGGCATTAGAAAAGTATGTTAAGGCAGAAGGAATAAAGATGATTTTATGAGATTATACTGAGAGATAAAAACTTATTGAGGTTTGTTAT